GCGGCGCAGGGCGGGGCCTCGTCCCAGCCGGCGCTGCGGTGTCCACTGAGCGTCACTGTACTTGCCGGGCTGAGGTCGTCTCAGGTGAGGAGGTCGCGCCGGAAGTGGCTCTGGCTTGGCGCCTGGGCGTGGTAAAGCATCTGCTCCCGGCTTTGTTGTTAGGGGGCCTCTGCGTCACCCAGCTCTCTCCCCTTGCCTTGCAGCTGCCATGGCGAAAGGCAGAGTCTCAGAGCGATCGCCGGCCGGCGCGCTCCACACGAACGCAGGGAAGGACGGGACGGAGGGGACGCGGGGACCCGCGGCGCCCGTTAGCGGAGACCACCTGAAGGGTGAGTGGACCTGGGGGTCCAGGGCTGAGTGTGCCTGGAGCGGCTGCGGAGGGAAAGGACACCAGCGGATCTCGGGGGCTTGCGGGGAAGGAGCGGCCTGCTGGCGTCCGGGCCGGAGCTAGGCAGGGGTTCCTCGAGCATATCCTCCTACCCCGCACAGCGAAAGCCGGACGCCTGGTGGGTGAGTGGCAAGTGCCTTTTTTTAAAATTTTTTTTTGATACCGGGGATCGAACTCAGGACCTTGTGCTTGCGAGCAGCCGGTGGCGGGATCACTGAGCCAAATCCCCTGCTCGCAAATGCCTTTTAAATTGAATTCAGTCCAAAGAAATGACAGCTGGCTACTTCCGACCCGGGGAGATTGTAAGTTTGATAACGAAGCCAGACAGATCGAGAAGGAACTTTAGCATTCGTTGCGTTGTTACAGATGAAGAAACTGAGGCTCCGGCTAGGGTACATCACTTGTGTATAGTCACAAAGCCAAATTAGTACAGTAGTTAAGAGCAGGGACTTGATCTTCTGAGTGGCACTCCCAGGTGGCAGGGAGTACCTACCTGGATTTGAGTCTTTTCTTTATCTTTTACTTGGAACCTTGGGCTTGTTAACTTTCTTTCTTTCTTTATTTTAGTACTGGGGATGGAAGTCCGGTCCTTGCGCTCGCGAGGCAGGCAGCAGAACCACTGAGCCAAATCCCCAGCCCCGGGCTTGTCAACTTTAAAAGGCTCAGTGTCCAAACTGTAAAATGGGGATAATACTATTATCTGTTTAATCGGTTGATGCATGAGTTAAATGAAATAATTCATGTTAACAGTTAATAACCTTATAGCTAAGCACATTCATTTTAAAACCACTTCCCCCGGCTACAGCATCCTGGAATTTTTCGCAGGGCTTTAAATACTGTTTTGTTTTGGTTTTTTGAGACAGGGTCTTATGTAGTTCAGGGTGGCCGTGAAGTCACTGTGTAGCCCAGGCTGGTCTCGAACTCTCAGCAGTCTTCCTGTCTCAGCCTCCCAAATGCTGGAACTACATGCGTGTACCACTATGCCTGGCTTAAATTTGTTCTAAGAGAAAAAGTATACTTAGAAACTAAATACCGTGATTCCATCTTTGCACAAAATTGCTTATTGCTTTTCAGCAGTAGAAATGATTGAGCTTTTAAGAAGCATTTTTAAGCTCATAAAGAAATTATCACATCCACATGGTGCCACACACATGAGGCAGGATGATGAACTGTGTAGCTAGACCCTGTCTCAAGGAAAAAAAAAGTGTAAAGGGAATTACAGGTAATGTAATTTCAAATAAATTTATTTTAAAAATTTAATGAATTAACTCACTTTGTGTCCCAGGCTGGCCTCAGTCTCCTGAGTACTGGGAGTGCAAGCAGGTGCCACCATGCCCAGCCTTACTTACTGTTTTATAATATTGTCAAGTGATTTTTGCAGACAACACATCTATAAAGTGTGAAGGCATGCCTTCTTAGAGAAATAGAGTTTGAATAAGTAATGAGAGAAGGAGTTGCTGGGCCAGGGAAACAGCTCAAAGGTTAGCGTGAACCTTTTGTGTGTGTCAGCAAAGAGACTAATTTGTTGTCAGTGGAGGTGTTCTGTTGGGTGACAGTAAGCATTGGCCTTCTTGATTGGCCTGTTCCAATGGCATCAGATTATATTAAGCTAGGGAATTTTTTATCCAGCCTGATGATTAATGATTGCCAATTTTTTTCTTTTTCCTCTCTTCTCCCTTTGTCTTTCTCTAACTCATGTTAGAAATACAATGTTCCAGATCAGATATATTTCAGAGGTAAAGCATTTGTCTAGCATGTAGGTTCAATTTTTAAAAAAATTTTTATTAGTACATAATGATTACATTCATCATGGGGAGTTGATACATCCCCTTCTTCCTCAACTTTTTTTGGGGGGGTATGGGGGATCGAATTCGGGACCTTGCCCTTGTGGAGCAGGTGGCCGTTCCTCCTTATTTCTTGAAGTCATATTCATTTATATAGATTTTGTATGTAGCAGATCATAATGTAAAATAAATTACAATGGAACAAAAATATTTGAGAAACACTATTGTTTTTCATTGACTTATTTATTTATTGGTGATAGTAGGGATCAAACCCAATGGTACTCTACCACTGAGCTACATCCTTATCCTTTTACATTTTTTCTTTTGAGACAGAGTCTTGCCAAATTGTCCAGGCGGGCCTCTGACATGCCATCCTCTTGCCTCAGCCTGTTGAGTAGCTGGGATTATAGGCTTGCACCCTGGTGCCCAGCTATCAGGAACCACTGTCTTGAAGTTGCTTTTATTTGTTTCTTTGTTTGTTTGTTTTTGAGACAGGGTCTCACTATGTAGTTGAGACTGACCTGGAATTCACTATGTAGCCCAGGCTGGTCTCGAACTCAGTGATCCTCCTGCCTCAGCCTTTGAAGTTGCTTTTAAAAGGCAGTATTGTTCAAACTGGAATAATAAATCTGTCTTAGATTCCTATTCTGGATCCTGCCTTGCTAATTTGCTTCATCAAGTAACTCCTTAAGATTCACAGTAAGCATAGTTCTTGCTGGCTTAGAACAAATAGGAAGCTCTCATTACTGAGACGTGGGATCTAAAAGTAGAATTGGCAATGGGACATTAACCAAGGTATTGGTGTGATTTGATGTTGCCAGTCTCAACACAAATTTTGTATTTTAGGCATTTTTCTCTTTTTTGTCTACAGTAAATAGAAAACTCAATTGAAACCTTTACTGAAAGAGAATTTGTTGGTTTAGGTAATTTAAAAATCAGTAAAGTAGAATTTAGTGTCATCAAGCTGGAACCTGTAGCTCAGTTCTGTCTCAGCATCAGGTTTTTTTTCTTATCTTGGTTTGCTTTAACATAAGCTTAGTTCTGTTTGTTTGTTTGTTTGTTCTTTGAGGTAGGGTCTCTCTTTATAGTTCAGGCTGGCCCTGAACTTCCAATGTAGCCCAGGCTGGCCTGAACGCAGCCTCTGGAGTGCTGGGATTACAGGCATGTGCCACCATGTCCACCTTTAGTTCTTGAATTCCAGGAAAGCTAAATGCTTTCTTGTTAGTTTTTTTACTTGTTTATTTTTTAGTTTTGAGAATTTTTGTCCTAGCACAGTGATGGTGAACCTTTTAGAGTTTTCAACAATAGAAACAGCCTGCTGTGGCACGTGTGCCATAGGTTTACCCCCACTGTCCTCGCACTATCAGAGTCTTGGTATTCACTGTATTGCTTCATTCCAGGTGCTAGTCTCTGAACTTCTTTCTGTTGTTAGATGGTGAAAAACAACCTGATTGTCTGGTTCTAATTCATGTTATATACCCAGAAAAGGGAGTAGGAATGGGGCTAAGTCAGTTTTCCTGGTAATGTAGAACACTCATGATTTTCCTCTATATTGGTATAGAAATAAAGAAAATGAACCTGTCTGTGAGGAAATACCTTGGGGTGGCTAATTTATTAAGAAAATTTAGTGTATAGTTTTGCTGGTTCAAGGACATGACACCTTATTGGTCCTCTGGTGAGGCCCTCATGGAGGATGTAAATATTAGAAGTCACATCTTGAGTCAGGAGGCAGATAGGACTAAGTGGGGCTGAAATCCGACTTTCATGTTAACTCTGGCAGAACTATCAAGGAGACCTGTGGGCAAACCTGTGGGCAAACCCCCAATGACCCAAGGACCTCTTAGTAGGTGCCACCTCCCTAAGTCAACTAATTCTCAGGCATTCCATCGCAGTGAACCCTGGGGGACACTCAGGCAACCCCCAAAACATAGCAGACAGCTACAAGCAAAGAATAAGGATTTTATCAAAGGTGTTGGCTCAGTTGATATATGAAATCCAGGCTGTATATGGAAGGAAAAGAGGCTGGGATGTAGCTCAGTGGAACTGGAACTGCCTGGCAAACACAAGGTCCTGAGTTCAATCCTTGGTACCACCACCAAAGAAAAAAAAAAAAAAAAGAAAAGAAATGAATATTAGAAAATTTTTTTAGTTTAAAAAAATTTTTGGTGCATTTTATTTATTTTATTTTTATTTTTTGGGTACATTTTAGACATACATAATGGTAACATTCTTCATTGGGGATTTTACCTGTACATGATGGATCCTTTTTTCCCATTCTCTCCTCTAACCCCTCTGCCCCTCCTTATTTACAAAAGCTTTGTTTCCACTTTTTTCTTTCTTGAATATTAGAATTTAAAATGTCCACAGGAAAGCAGTTTCAGGCAATGTTAGAATTTAGTGGGTAGTGCTGGAAGTGGGTGGCTGAATTGGAACAGAAATGAATGTCTATGAGACTGGGTGGATCATTTAAATGATTGGTGAAATCTTTTAGGATTGTGGAGATTATTATAAGCTTGGTATTGGTCCTCAGTAAACAGATACACCTGAAAGTGGGTAGGTGGTTGTGAGAGAGAGTGTGTAGATTGTTTTTTTGTTTTGTTTTGTTGGGTACCAGGAATCAAACTTGGGACCTTGCAAGGCAGTGTGTAGATTGGATGGTAGCAGCGTTGTTGCAGGGTATAGGGCTTGAAGACTGATTTCTTACAGGAGTTTGAGAGTGCTACTTTTTCACATAAATGTGCCTTCATGTTTTTTAAAAAAATTGTTTATATTTAATAGCTTCTTTAATTTATACTTGATGGTATTACTACCATTTTCTTTTCTTTCTTTTTTTTGTTTTTTTTTTACATAGTCTTACTATGTAGTTGAGACTAACCTGTGTAGCCCAGGCTGGTCTCAAACTCACAGCGATCCTCCTGCCTCAGCCTCCCGAGTACTGGGGTTACATTACAAGCGTGTGCCACCACACCCAGCTCTACCATTTTCATTATCAAGTCAGTGATTTTTTAAATTTTTAACCTTTTTTTTTTTTTTTTTAATTTTTTTTTGGTTTTTTGAGACAGGGTCTCACTATGTAGTTGAAACTGCCCTGGAACTCACTATGTAGCCCAGGCACTCACAGTGATCCTCTTGTTTCAGCCTTCCAAGTGCTGGGATTACAGGCGTGCGCCATCACGCCTGGCTATTTTAAGCTTTAAAGCCCTTGAAATATTTTACTTTAACTGTGTTACAACAGTGTTGTGACTTTAAAAGTTTTCTTGTTCTGTAGACTTATGTCCTCAAGAGAAACAGGTTTTCCTTCATGGTGGGGTCAAGTATATTAGAAAACACTCAATGTTGAGGACAAGAGGTCTGGATAACCAGTAAGAGTAATTCCTAAGATCTTGTAGATATTGCAACATTTTGCTTTCTGAAAGATTTTTACATGAAACTAATAAGAATGAAGGCAGCATTAGAGATTGTTAGAGTTAATTTATGTTTTTTAGGATGGAATTCTTTTTTTTTTTTTTTTTTTGAGACAGGGTCTCACTCTGTAGTTGAGACTGACCTGGAACTCACTATGTAGCCCAGGCTGGTTTTGAACTCACAGCGATCCTCCTGCCTCAGCCTCCCGAGTGCTGGGATTACAGGCGTGCACCACCTCGCCCGGTTTAGGATGGATTTCTTTTGTGTTAGAGAAAGTGTGATTGCTTGTAAGAAAAAAATTGAAGATGTTGGGGAAAAGGGAATTTAAAGAGCAAGATTTAGAGGGCAGTTTGTTAGCACTAATGAAAAAATAAGGGGAAAGGGAAGATAATTCCATGAACAGATCTTGAGGTAGACATTGGGGAGCTCACTAAAGTAGGAGTCAGTGTCTTTGGTTGTAGGCAGAAGAAGGTAGAAATAAAATGGCCAAGTAATCTTTTTGGAGAGTGATAGAAAAGGATTACTGTTTATCAGTGATTACCTTGATAGAAGCTAGGAAACTGTGAACTTGTAGGCTGAAGGAGCACATTTCTGACTTTTTCTAACACTGTCAGGGGAAGAGGTTAAAAAGCAGATAATCGTATAATTTAGACTAGGAGCTGGTATGATGGAAGATTTGGAAGTAAATAAGTATGAGTAGTTGTAAATGCTAAAGGCACTTGCATCTAATGTCGCCATAAGAAGGAACACTATAAATGTATATACCTGAAATTTAGATACAGATTTTAACAACAAGATTTAGAACTTTTATCTATGTTTAGATACTGTAAGTGAATTACATACTAATCCCTGGGTTTATTAGAATTATATGCAAGGATTGTTGTTGAATCGTAATCACCAACAATCCCTTTTTACCAGTTTGTTTTTTTGTTTGTTTGGTTTTTGGTTTTTGGTTTTTGGTTTTTTTGGTACCTGCAATCAAACTCAGGTCTTTGTGCTTGTGAGGCAGGTGGCAGAACCACTGAGCTAAATCCCTGACTCCCTTTTTACCAGTTTGTATGAAAGAAAGGAGTGCTTCCAAATTGAATATCTTCTTTTTTTCCTTTCATTTGTTCAGTTGTTGCCTTGTGCTGCTGTTTAACACAGTGCTTAAAAAACTTTGCCTAATTTTAGAGTGAAAAAAATAGTTATTAAGGTAAACCTAGAGGTTAATTTTGTTCAGATGTCTATATATTTCATGATCCAACTAACTGTAAAATAACAAGCAGCAATCGAAATAACATGTACTCAAGGAAAACTCAGGATAGTTAATGTTCTGCTGTTCAGTTAAACATTGTCTGGACCTTTCTCCTGTCTCATTTTAGGAATGGTGAGTTTATAATGTAATGAAAAAAATCATTTAATTTTAGAGCTAACATACTAAATGCCTTATTTAATTTGTTTGCCTTATTTAATCTTTAAGAGAACTACGTTACCTATTTAAATCCTTAAGATTATATTTAGCTTTAGCTACACACAGTGCAGGTTAGAAGGCTAATCCTTTTCCAATCATTTTTTTTTTTTTTTGTCCTGTGGATCGAACTCATGACTTTGTGCTTTCAAGGCAGACAGCAGAACCACTGAGTTAAATCCCCAGCCTCCCATCTTTTAATATTCAGCTAAGTTTCCACCTGCATCCTGAATCTTGCTTTCATCACTCCAAACCATACTCTTGCTTTCCTATAAACCAAGTCCCTTTTAACTCTGCTCTTCTTTGGTAGTGGTTCTTGAGGTACATGTTGGGTTGAAATGCTGTTTTCCTTATATTTATTTACATTTGTGTTTATGTTATTTATATTTACCTTTTTTCCTCCTTCTTCCAGAAAAAGCCTGGGCAGAAGCTGGGTCAGCAAGAATGTCACTGCTTATATTGGTGTCCATTTTCCTATCTGCAGCTTTTCTTATGTTTTTGGTATATAAAAATTTTCCTCAGCTTAGTGAGTAAGTATGCAAGAAAGAAACTGAAAATATCTGGGTATTTGTGAGACGAAAGTGGATTTTTAAAAAAAGAAAGTGAATTAAGGCTGGGGATTTAGCTCAGTGGTGCTGCTGCCTGCCCCACAAGTGCAAGGTCCCTAGTTCTATCCCCTGTACCAAAAAGAAAAAAAAGAAAGAAAATGAATTAAAAGCTAAGCTTATTTTAAGTAACAGACATCATGATGATTGTGTATTAGCTTTCATGACTTGTAGCAAGTCTACATCAGTACTATGATTTAAATATTGTTTTCAACTTTGCCTGTTGGTTTTCTATGCAAGACTTTTCTAGTATTGCTTTTCTAATAAGGTAACTACTATAAGAAAGATATTGATTTAAGTTGTGGTACTGGGGATTGACCGCAGGGTTACTGAACTATATCCCCAGCCTTTTAAAAAATTCTTTAATTTTTATTTATTTATTTATTTTGGTACCGGGGATCAAACTTGGGTCCTTGCGCTTGTGAGGCAGGTGGCAGAACCACTGAGCTAAATCCCTGGACCCCTGGCCGTTTTTTTTGCCTTGCAAGTGCTGAGTTTGATCCCCAGTACCCCACCTCAAAAAAATCGGAAAATACCACCTGTTTCTCGCAACTTAAACTTTGTTTTGCAGTACAAAGGATTGAACCCTCGAGAATGCAAAGTGCTTTGCCCTTGAGAGTGCAAAGCATGCACTCTCCCACTGAGCTATGCTTACAGCTCCAGTATTTTGATTTCTTCCATCAGTGCAAATGCCTTTGGAATGGTAGCACGAAGAGTTATTAAGTTAAATTAATATGATTTAATTTTATTTATTTATTTTTAATATGATTTAATTTTAGAATCTTTCTGGGTTTTGATCAAGGAGTAGAAAACAGTTGATTTTTTTAAAAGAGCAGATTGAAAGAGGGGAGGAATAGAGTGGAAAGGTTGTCTTTGCTTCTAGTCTGCCCTAAGAATGTTAACATATTACTTGTATCAAACAACGTACTATTATAAGCCTTTTATATTTATCTTGGTTGCACTCTGCATATATTTATATATGTGTCTGCATGCATACATACGCATGTATGTACACCGCTGTAGGGAGTCTTCAATTTTACTTTTTTAAAATTTTGAGACAGGGTCTCACTATGTAATTCAGGCTGGCCTTGAACTCGCTATGTAGCCTAGGCAGGCCTAGAACTTGGGGTGATGCTTCTGCCTTAGCCTCCCAAGTGCTGGGATTATAGGCATGCATCGCCATGACCAGCTGAGTCTTTAGTGGTGGGTGGTACTGGGGATCGAACTCAGGACCTTATGCTTGTGAGGCAGGCAGTGGCACTGCTGAGCTACATCTCTTAGTTTTAAGATTTTATAAATAAGCTACTTTAGTTTACCAGCTTTTTTTTTTCTCCCCTGAGATAGCACCTCATTACTTAGCCCCAGCTGGCCTTGAAGTAGCTGTCCTGCCTCACCCTTGCAAGTGCTAGGATTATGGCCATGTGCCACCATACCTAGCTGCCAAGTATTTTTATTTATTTTATTTTATTTTTGGTACTGAATCGAACTCAAGACCTTGTGCTTGTGAGGCAGGCGTGGTGCCACTGAGCTAAATCCCTGGACCTGCTACCAGGTATTTTTAAAGGATTTAGAAAAGCTAGGCCAGGAATTTAGCTCAATGGTTCCTCTGCCTCCCTCCAAAGTGCAAGGACCTGAGTTCAATCCCTGGTGCCCCTCTCCCCGCAAAAAAGAAAAACAGCAGCATTCAACTACATGGTTGTGCATGCCTATAGTCACAGCTACTGAGGAGGATCTGAGATAGGATTGCTGAAGTTCATGATTTCGAGTCCAGCCTGGGCAATACAGTAAGACCTTGTCTCAATTTAAAAAATTACAGTAAATATCATAAGAAAGGTGCATTGTGTCATTGTTCTGCAGAGTAAAAATATGAAAACAAATGAGCATAATATACCTTAAATACAAGGATGATTACTTGGAACTTTGATAAAATCATTTAATTCCAAACAAGGTACCCAATTTAAAGTAAAATCAATAGTGCCGGGTATGGTGGCTCATTCCTGTAATCCCAGTACTCAGGAGGCAGAAGCAGGAGGATTGCCACAAGTTCGAGGCCAGCCTGAACTATAAAGTGAAACCCTGTTTCAAAAAAACCAAGAAAAAAGTAAAATTAATAGAAAAGGAAAAATATTTTAACTTTTTCTAAACTTTTAGCTGGGATAGTCCAGAAAAGGTGTGAATTCATTAAAATTTTAATTTTCATTATAAATGATTATTAACTTTTACTTATGAGGATTACCCAAAGTGATGTTAAATACTTTTTTTTTTTTTTTTTGTGGTACCGGGGATCGAACTCAGGTCCTTGTGCTTGCGAGGCAGGCTAAATACGTTTTAAATATACTAACACCAGTGGATCATGTCTTAATATTTTAATTTTAAGTTCAAGCCAGTATTGGAGTAAATGATTTTAACTTTTAGTTTGTGTTATCATGAACTTTCATATGTAGATTATATACCTCGGGAAATTAAAGCATTAATACATACTTTATAGACTTTTAAACTTAAAAATTTTTAATGTAGCCTTATCATATTATGTAGAGAAAGGCCTCAAATCTTTTTGGATAAAATTCCATGTTTTTGGGCTGGGGATTTAGCTCAGTGGTTCCAGTGCCTGCATCACAAGTGCAAGGGCCCTAGTTTGATCTCTGGTACCAAAGGAAAAAAAAAAAAAAGCAAACTCCATGTTTTGATTTGATTTTTATTTTATCATAGTAAAATTCTGCTTAAATGTTTTCATTTTCATTAAAAAAAAAAAAGCAAACTACATGTTTTGATTTGATTTTTATTTTATCATAGTAAAATTCTGCTTAAATGTTTTCATTTTCATTTTATTTCTTTAGAGAAGAAAGAATGACTATGAAGGTTCCCAGAGATATGGATGATGCCAAGGCTCTAGGAAAAGTTTTATCCAAATATAAGGACACCTTTTATGTACAAGTACTTGTAGCTTATTTTACTACATATATTTTGTATCCTTTTAACTGAAAAATGTTGTTTAATTTTGTTCAAGTAAAGGTTTAAAAGGTCTGCTGTTTAGTTACAACACAACATTTTTATTTTAAAATATATTATGTAGCGTTACAATATTAAATAAAATAATGAAAGATTAAAGTGGCACAATTTCTAACTAATTCTGTCTCCTCAATTTAGGTTTTTTGGTTTGTTTGTTTTTGGTACTGGGGATGGAACTCAGGACCTTGTGCTTGTGAGGCAAGCATGGTGTCACTGAGCTAAATCCCTGGCCCTATTTTTATTTCTGAATATCTGTTACCAGTTTTTTGGGGAATTGTGCTTATTTCATTTATCAGATATTTTCCTTTTCTCTGTAATTTAGGATATTTATCTGTTGTTTGAATTACTAGTTATCTCTTTGTTTTTAAGAATATTCCATGTTTTTTGTTGTTGTTGTTGTTTTGTTTTAATGACGGGGCCTTAACTAAGTTGCTCTGGATGGGCTGGAACTCTTGATCCTCCTACCTCAACTTCCTAGAGTGTAACCACATTCATTTTTCCCCCCCTGTCTTTCTCTCTCTCTCTCTCTCTCTCTCTCTCTCTCTCTCTCTCTTTTTTTGGTAGCTTTTTGAGACAGGGTCTTTTTTTTGTTTTTGTTTTTTGAGACAGGGTCTCACTATGTAGTTGAGACTGACCTGGAACTCACTATGTAGCCCAGGCTGGTCTCAAACTCACAGTGATCCTCCTGCCTCAGCCTCCTGAGTGCTGGCATTTCAGGCATGTGCCACCACGCCCAGCCAGTTCTTTTCTTCTATTTATGTTTCACAAATTTTTAAAAATTAATTTTATTTTATCCCACCCCCCTCCCAAGTGTTTTGAGTATATATGTGAACACATTGGAGAGCTTATTCAGCATAGGCAATTTAGTGACAGGTTTAGGGAAGCTTTAAATTCTAATATAAAAAAGCATTTGTAGTTGGTAGTATGCTTTATGCAGTTAATTTTATCATTATCCTTCCTATTAGAAAAAATTCAAATCTGGAGAACATTTGGAGAATAAATATACTTTTGTGAGGGGGTGGTACCAGGGATCGAACTCAGGACCTTGTGCTTGCAAGGCAGGTGTGGTGCCGCTGAGTTAATCCGTGGCCCCCTACATTTTTTTTTTTTGTACCTGGGATTGAACCTTGGGCCTTTGTGCTTGCAAGACAGGTGGTGGCACCCCTGAGCTAAATCCCTGGCCCCCTACATATCTTTTTGACAGGCCATTTTGGGCAGCTGTTTGGTCAGATTATGTCATTGTACATATACTGCCTTCCATAACTGCTACCTTTTCCTTTTAACTCCATTTTGTCAATACTCTGTGAAAATCTTACTGCCGGATTTATAGGTTATTTTGCCTTATGTCCTGTACTTCAGTAATGAATTGAAATGTTTTCCTTAGTGCTCGCCTTGGCCGCATATATATACTAAAATTGAAATGTTTTCCCTAAATAAGAAACAAACCTGGTTCATCCTTTTCATTTATCTTTTATAAACCTTTTGTGAACATTTTGTCAACAAGATCTATAATTTCTAAGTTGGAAATTCTTGTTTTTTGCCCCATTTTCACTCCCTACATTGGGAGGGATTTATGATGGGAGGTAAAGGAGATGTCACCACTCTGGCCAATCAGCTAGTTAGTGTGAATGAATTTTGGACTTTTATGGGGCATTAAATGTAGCCTTGTTATCTTTTTTTTTACGTTTATACTTTTTTACTTTTATTATATCCCATTCCCTCCCTCAAGCCCCCTGCTCTCCCTGTGTGCAAAAGCTTCATCTCCATTTTTTCCTTCTATTCTCACTTTTTTTGTCCCTGTCTTCCTTTCTCCCTCCTTTGTTCCCCTTCCCATTTGAACACTTTCTTCCCATTTCTCAACATGCATTGTACATCTCAGTCCTAATTTCCATATTCAGTTTCTCACACCAGAGAAACAATACGGTATTTAAACATGTGTGTCCGATTTATTTCACTTAGGAGTATGGTCTCAAGGTCCATCCATTTAGCTATAAATATCTGAAACTCATCCTTCTTCATTAGTCTTGTTATCTTAATGTCCACATAAAATTTAGTATAAAAACTATCCTGCAGGCCAGGCATAGTGGTGCATGCCTGTAATCCCAGTACTCGGGAGACTGAAGCCGGAGAATCTCCATGAGTTTGAGGCCAGCCTGAACTCTGCATAGTGAGGCCCTGTCTCAAAAAACGAAAACAGGGCTGGGGATTTAGCTCAGTGGTTCCTCTGCCTGCTTTGCAAGTGCAAGGTCCTGAGTTTGATCCCCGGTACCAAAAAAAACAAAAACAAAAAAACCTGTCCTGCAGAAGGTTATATAAAGTATATCTTATTTAAAATTTTAAATATTGATTAATATTGTCAATTCAGATTATATATTGTTACTGTTTACTTGATAATAGTAATGATTTCATATATTATAGATTTTTATAACTTGTTAAATCTAAATTTTCTTACAGTAGTCTTAACTTTTGAATTTTAAATTATAAATGTTTAGGGGCTGGGGATTCAGTTCAGTGGTTCGGGCACCTGCTTTGCAAGTGCAAGGACCTGAGATCAATCCCCAGTACCAAAAAAAAAAAAAAAAATTATAAATGTTTAAACTTGGTGAGCAAAGGGAAATACTTTGTCTTAGGGCACATAACTTGGTTTTACTAGTAACAGGACTGATTAATAAAAGGTGATTCATCTTTAACTTTTAAAAGTTCTTGCAGGCACATTAGAAAAAGTAAAAAGGAACGCCTATAATTAATTCAACTAATAATATATTTGAAACAGTATAGCAAATATTTTATCATTTCAAAATGTATTTGGTAAGCTGGCCATGGTGGCACATGCCTGTAATGCTAGCCCCTGGGAAGCTAAGGCTCCTGGACTGAGTTCAAGGCCAGCCTAGGCTACCTCGGGAGGCAAGTGATACTAGATTCAATAGTGCAAGCACTTGTACCTCTGGAATAAGACCTAATTTCAAATTCTTGTGTATTTTTTATATTATATTCCTTTTTTTAACCCTAGCTTTCATTTATTTAACCAATTTCTTAAAATACTAATTGTATGCTAAGGACTGATCTAGTGCTTTAATTATTCAAAAGCAGAAAACTGTTTCCAGCTGTAATAATGAGAAATACTAGGTAGAGGTATAGCACAGGCCTGGACAGACCTAGAGCAGAGCCCTAAGCACAGAGCATTGTTAGGAAGCGATCGTGGTCCAGTTTAGGTGGAGTAGAGGGCATAAGAGAGGAGGACTGAGAAGTAAGTCTAGGATGCTGGGCAGCTGCGCTGTCACCACAGAGGACTCTGGATAGCAAGCTAAAGAATTTAGAATATTTGGTATTGAATAGTCATTGAAGACTGTGAAGCAGAGGATAATGTTAAAAGTGTCAATGCTGGGCATAACAGCATGTGCCTGTTACTTTCTTTTTTGGGGGGGGTAGTGAGCATTGAACTCAGGACCTTGTGCTTGCAAGGTAGGCACAGCACCATTGAGCTAAATCCGCAGCTCTCTATTACTTTCTTATTGCTGAGATATACCCAACACCTGTAAAAGGGGGTGAGGTTTAGTTTGAGTCACGGTTTGTAGAGGTTTCAGTTGATAGTTGTCTGGGCAGCGTGGCAAAGGAGAAACAGTTCTTGGCAGGGTGAGCAGGAAGCGGAGAGAGGGGTGGAGGAGCATATGCTGTTCCAGGCCACGCCTGCAGTAACCCATCTCTTCCTACCCTCACCTTCCCAGCATCACACTCAGCTGTAAACCCATCAGTAGACTAATCCAGTATCACCCCCCATGGTCTAGTTATCTCCCCAAAACCCCACCTATAAGTACTTTGGGGGAACATCTGGATAAAAGCCGTAACACCTGTGATCCCAGCTACTGGGGAGGCTGAGGCCAGAGGATCATGAGCTTGAGGCCAGCCTGACCCACCTAGCAAGACCCTGTTTCAAAATAACAATTTAAAAAATGTCTGGGAATGTAGCTCATTGGCAGCGCCCCTGAGTTCAAACCACACACACAAAAAAATCATTCGTTTTCATCTTTTTGTTTCCCTAGACCAAAAAAGAGTAACTTTTTATTTAATTCTTAGAAATAAATTTCTTGTTAAAGTATTTGAATATTTGAAACATATACAGAAGTAGAGATATTCTTTATTTTTGTTTGCTTTTTGGGACACATTCTGTCTTCTGCCTCAGCTTCCTAAGTGCTAGAATTATTGACGTGCACCATACATCTGACACCCTCAATTCTCTTTTAAATGAGTAGTTAATTGATATGTTTCATAGTTAAATTTAAAATAATTATCATAGCTTATGAGTACCTAGATTTCTATAGAGATCATGTTTTCTGAGAATAGGAGTAAATCAAAGTGCATTAAAGAATTCTGTATGTTATTTAAAAGATTATTGAAGATTTCTTTTTTCCTTTTTTTAATCACATCGCCGAATTCCTTTCTTTATGGTACATGTTGGATTTGTCTTGCTCTTTATTAGCACAATTTTATTAGCATTGTATTTATTTACTATATATTTTGGTATTTATTGATAAGTAAATGGTCAACTTAGAGTTGAAGACATTGCAGCTGAGGAATCCTATTTTTAATATTTGGATGTGATTTTATTTTATCTTTTAATATAGGTTGAGCATCTCTAATTAAAAAAATCCAAAACCTGAAATACTCCAGAATCCAAAACAAGTAAAAATACTGCATAAAATTTAGCTTCAGTTTGTGTGTATAAGGTATATATGAAATTTAAATGAATCTAGACCTTAGACTTCATTCCCATCTTAAGGACATTATGTGTATGCTGCAAATGTTCTAGAATCTGAGAAATCCAAAATCCAAAATAGTTCTGTTCCCAAGCATTTTGAATAGGAAATACTCAACCAGTACTGAAATAAGGGTATGGTTTCATTAGCATGATGGTTTCTGTGTCTGTACTTTTTTCTGAAATGTTGGGTTTGTCTTTTAAAAATTCCATTTGATTACGTTTTAATCCTTAACTTAAAAGTTAACAGCTTGCAGACATTTGCTATTCCGGGCTCTATATTTCTCAGTATACTGTCAGGGTTCCTTTATCCCTTTCCACTAGCCTTGTTTCTTGTTTGTTTGGTAAGTATATAAATTGAATTGGGAAACTGGAAAAAACAGCTATAAATAAATTAATGAGAACGATAATGTCACCCTAATCCCACTAATCCAGTAAGTTCCTTTGAGAGCAATTGATGTTTAAGTGATATCTGTTAAGTTCTTCAATGAAGAGATGTTATAATTTATTTTTCTCCCTAGAACTGGGCTATTACAGGTGTAATTGCATTTACAAGTTCCCTTAGCCTTTCTTTCCTATTGTGGGTTTTTTATTTTGCTTTGTTTTCTTGAGATAGGGTCTTGCTATATAGTTCCAGCTGGCCTTGAACTCATGGCAGTCCTTGCCTCTGCCTCTGAAGTGCTGGGATTGTATGTGTGTGCCACCGCACCCACCCAGCTCCTATTGTGTTTTGTAACCTGGACAGTCTACGGGTTTTGGTGGGCACGATGAATTAAGTCTCAGGGGTGGGGTAGTGTTTTTAAGCAGAGCACAGAAAAGCTTAGCTCCTGAAATTGGTTTTTTTTTTTTTTGGTACTGAGGATTGAACTCTGGTCCTTGTGCTTGCGAGGCAGGCAGCAGAATCCCTGAGCTAAATCCCTGAAATTGTATTCTTATTCTAAAGGCTAACAGTAATTATTTGGATATACAGTAGTCCTCTTAAGTTTAATTGCAAATGCCAGTTGACGTCATTTGAATTACAGTTTGGTCTAAGAAAGATCTACTTCAGGTGAGTTCTCTACATCAGAGATGTATAGAGTGACCTTCCTGTCTCCCAAAGAAGCAAACTAGTTGAGCTTTTCCTCGGGTAGATAGTTCATGGTAAAACACAAAGTACTCATGGCCTCTGTTGTTTTCCAGTGTTCCGGACTTGGTGCCTCATTCTGCTATATGCTCTCCTATTTAGTTGGGAGACCAGTTGTATACAGATACCTAACAGAGAAAGCAGTAAAATGGTCACAGCAGGTAAATATATGTTATTGTTGTTGTTTCTTTTTTTTTTTTCTTTATTTTTGGTACTAGGGATTGAACTCGGGACCTTGTGCTTGTGAGGCAAGCACTGGAACCACTGAGCTATATCCTTGGCCCTTCTTTTGTTTTTTGAGACAGAGTCTTGCCCTTTTGCCCATGCTGACCTCAAAACTCCTGGGCTCCTGCCTCATCCTTCTGAGGAGCTTGGACTACAAATGTGTCCCACTGTGTTGTGCTTACTTTTATTTATTTATTTATTTTTTAATTTTTAAAATTTTTTTGGTACCGGGGATTGAACTCCTCCTTGTGCTTACGAGGCAGGCAGCAGAACCACTGAGCTCAATCCCTGGCCCTTGTAATTTTTTTGAGACATAGTCTTGCTATGTCCAGGTTGGCCTGGAACTTGCTAGGTAGCACAGGCTGGCTTCAAACTCTTAACAAGCCTCCTGCCTCAGCCTGTGAAGTGCTGGGATTACAGGTGTGCACCACCATACCTTTCCAAATGTTAATAATTTTAAATACAAATTTTTGAATTTTTCATGCCTATAATGATTGTTTTATCTTTTTTTCTTCCTTGCATGCTAGAGAATCCCTCACTCGGGCAAAGCACACTACCACTGAGTTCCAGGCTGGGTCTCTCCGTAATGATAACATTAATTTTTTAACTTGGTAAATTCAATCAGTAGAAAAATCAAAGCATTACTCTGAAGGTGTCCACGTTCTTGGACACTTTGTGTGTTGTGTTGCATGTTGATTCTGCGCACTTGCAGGGCCGCTGAAAACCTGCATCTGCCAGCTCTTCTAATGCATCCCAGGGGGACTGTGCTCCTGCCAGGAGCCTGGCAGAGCCTGGCAGTGATGGGTATGAGCTAAGAAGCATCAGGAGAATCCAAAGAAATAGATCTCACAGGAATTTGAGAATTGTCCTGTTTTACAAATAGTAAATTTCAGAGAAACTTAGTATTTTGTCATGATCATTTAGCATGGTCTGGAATCTTGGAGCGCTAGACTTGGACACTAGTGCTCTTTTCATTACACTATATATGTACAGAATGGTCAAATAGTTTTACCTGTGAGGTTTTTTTTTTTTTTTAGAAAAGCTACTTTGAGTAGTGAGCATATTAGCTATTCCAAGGGATAGAAACTGTTATATTTAAATCAGCAGAATGTTTTCGAATACTTTTAAAATCTCATTTATCAACAATGAATGAATCCATTTATATGATATATATATTGTAATAGCACAAAATGAAGATTATCTGAAAGTTTTAAAGCTTGGGAGCTAGAGGCTGGGGGTGTTAAGTGGTAGAGGGCTTGGCTAGCACAGGGGAAGCCTGGAGTTTAGTCTCCAGTGCCAACTTCAACACATGTTGGGAGTTAAATTTGTTATTGTCATAGATTGCTTATTACACTGTAGAAAGGTGAAGACATTAAAAACTGGCTGATTGATTTCTTTCCATGAGTTGATTTCTTTCTTTTCTTTTATGTGTGATATTGGGTATGGAACCCCTTCATCCTGAGCTATATCCCTAGCCTCTTTCCATATTTTAAATTTAAGACACTCTTGCTAAATCACTAAGTTTTGCCCAGGCTGCGCTCAAATTTGCAATCCGTCTGCCTTTGCATCCCTGAGTGATGAGATGACAGATGTGTACCACCATATCCAGCTTGAATGTTTCTTTTTTGTTGTTTTTGTTTTTTGAGACAGGGTCTCATTATGTAGTTCAGGCTGCTTTGAATTCACTAAGTAGCCCTGGCTGGCGTCAAACTTGGGGAGATCCTCCTGCCTCAGTCTCCCAAGTGCTGGGGTTATAGGCGCATGACACCATACCCAGCTTGAATATGTTTCTTAAATGTAAATTATGAAAGTTTAATTTGGCACTTTAAGTGTTAATAGCATTATTGAACCATCATTAGACTAATAAGTGAGCCATCTTTAGTAACATAACATTGACCTGCAGTGATGGCAAAGCTTTTAGAGCTTTCAATGATACAAATAGTCTGTTGTGTCTTGTGTGTCATAGGTTCATGACCACTGTAAGAACAATTTTTTAAAAACCTCCTTTATCTCTGGTAATGAGCATTTAACAAATTATCATTTTTAAACTCCTTTTCAAATCATTAATTTGGAACCAAGAAAAAAAAAAAAGATGCGGGGAATGGTGGCACATGCCTGTATCCTAGCATTTAGGAAGCTGAGGCAGGAGGATTGCTTTAAGTTTGAGGTCAGCCTATGTATGCTACAAAGGGAGATGCTGTCTCAAAAAACAAAATACTGTAACAAAACTTATTCATATTGGATAAATTGTGAAATATCAGGAATGAGAAATTGAAATATGTTGTTTTATGTTAAACAGCTTATTTTCAGGATTGGCTTTTATCTGATACTAATATTCTTTTTTTTTTTCTTATGACAGGTTGAACGTCATAGAGAACATCTCATTAACTACATTATATTTTTGAGAATAACACCATTTCTGCCTAATTGGTTTATTAATATTACATCTCCTGTGATAAATGTGCCATTGAAAGTTTTTTTTATCGGCACTTTTCTCGGTAAGGCCCTTGGGTTGTGCTGTGTCGGGGCTCCTTGTGTACTTACTATCTAGCTGGCCAGGGTTGCATGTGCTCTGCAGCCTGAACAGATCACGTAGAGTTCTTGTGCACAAAGCCTGCCCTGCGCAGATAGAGCCTGAGCAGTGATCGTACATTGTGTTGTTTTTTTTGTATTACCTCTTAAAGAGGAACACGTTCTCCAGGGATTTAGCTCAGTGGTTCCACCGCCTGCCTCGCAAGCGCAAGGACCCGAGTTGGTACCGATCCCCAGTACCAAAAGAAAGAGGACCATGTTGTATTGGATATTGTTTTAATAATACAGGATGAAACAGAACTATTTTCCCTAATGCTGGAGATCAAAGCTGAGGGCTTTCCTATGCCAGGCAAGTCTTCCCCACTGAGCTATATCCCCAGTCCTCAGAACTTTTTTTTGCTTGTTTGTTTGTTTTTTTGAGACAGCGTCTCACTATGTACTTGAGACTGACCTGGAACTCACTATGTAGCCCAGGCTGGTCTCGAACTCAAAGTGATCCTCCTGCTTCAGCCTCCCGAGGGCTGGGAATACAGGCATGCGCCACCACGCCCGGCCTCAGAACTTTTTAACTCTAGTCTTTCCCGCAAGTGGAGGGAAAAAAATTTAAGTTGCTCTTTTAAATATTTTTCTTTTGTCTTCTAATCAAGTATGAAACATTGAACTTTAATTTTCAGTAGAGAATTGATCCCATCTTTCACTTTATTGAAATCAACACTTACTGTGTTTGTATGTATTATCGAAAATACAGGGAACAAAGAATCAACATTCTTGCTTTCAAGGCTTTGACACCCGATTCTGAAATTAATCAGCGGACCTGAAGTTTAATTTATATATTTTATGAATTGTTATATGTGTGTATGTGGGTTTTTTTAGGGGGTGGTTATTTGCTTTGCTGTACTAGGGACTGCTCCTGAGCTATATCTCCAACCCTTTTTTAATATTTTGAGCTGGGTTTGATGGTACATACCTGTAATCCTAGCATTTGGGAGGCTGAGGCAGCAATCTCCATGAGTTCGAGGCCAGCCTGGACTATATAAACAATGTCTCAAAAGCCTAAAAGAAAAATTTGAGACAGGATCTCACTGAGTCACTAAGTTGTCCATTTTTCTGTCTCAGCCTTGCAGAGTACTGAGTTTACAGGTGTACCCTGCTGTTGTGGCTGAATTCCTATGGTTCTTTAGTAAATGCTCTTGTGTATTTTTCTTCTTTTGAGTTGGTACAGGTTTTTTTTTTTCTTTTTTATTGAGTTTATTGGTACTTTTTTTTGTAACGGGGATCAAACTTGGGCCTTTGCGCTTGTGAGGCAGGTGGCGGAACCACTGAGTCAAATCCCTGGCCTATTGATACTTTTTAAGTAAGTACAGTACAGTTACATTCGTCATTAGGATCTTGTACCTTTACATTGCAGATCTTGGTTCTCATTTTTTCCCCAGAATTGGTACAGTTTAACTTGAATTGTTGAGATACAAAGAGCAGATTTCTCATGTATTGAATGTCTGTTAGGGCTTAAAGTTGGTTGTAATGGTTTAATATTTTAAAGAAATTCGTTGATAGTCAATTTTATCAGCCTGTGTATTGTTTCTTATCTCCTTATTTTACAAATAAAATGGCTAGAGATTTTGTTTTTCAACTTGTTTTGATTTTTAATGAAATTGATCATTTCTTGGATACTTTTTTATAACCTCTGGTTCTCATATTTTGATTGTCTAGACTAGTAGTGGCGAACTCTTGGCACGTGTACTGCAGCAGGCACACAGAGCCCTCTCTTTTGGCATTTGAGTTAAGTTGCCCCAGCATTGCCCCAGCAGCCAAGCATTTGGATTTCATTACAAGTGTTGGCACTTTGCAATGAATAAGTGGGTTTTGGGTTATAGTTTGGGCACTTGGTCTTTGATAGGTTCGCCATCACTGCTCTGGACAATCTGCTCTTTTGCCAGTGCCAGGGCTTGAACCCCTCAGCAAGTATTCTACCACTGAGCTACACCTACGATACTCAGTTTTATTTCTGAACATTAGACTGTTTTCAGATTTTTGTTTGTTTGTTTGTTTGTTTGTTTTTTTGAGACAGGGTCTCACTATGTAGTTGAGACTGACCTAGAACTCAACTATGTAGCCCAGACTGGTCTTGAACTCACACCCAGCTTCCAGATTTTTTGAAAGACTTAAATATTCTGAGTTGTCTGTTGGTTTTGAAATTAATTTTCCTTAAAAAATGATTATAAAAAATTGAATTCTTGGCCGGGCGTGGTCGCGCACACCTGTAATTCCAGAACTCAGGAGGCTGAGGCAGGAGGATCGCTGTGAGTTCGAGACCAGCCTGGGCTGCATAGTGAGTTCCAGGTCAGTCTCAACTACATAGTGAGACCCTGTCTCAAAAA